AGCCCTCACCGGCACCGGGAGCTCCCGGCTTTGATGCCGGCTCACGAACTCCCTCAAGCAGAGCTTGCCACCAGCTCACGGGAGTTTCCTCTGGAGTTTCCTCCGTGGCTTTGGAGATGCAAAGGATCGCAGGCATTACTGATGGAGTCACCTGCTCTCAAGCAAAGCTCGGGGCACACTTAAAATTTCAGTACCGGGGATCTCCCTTTGGATGCGAGAAGCGGGGCGTGAAGCCAAACCAAGACCCGGGCGCAGAGGGGCCTGTTCAGGCTGGGGAAGCTGAGCTGAGGTGCTCCATCTCCATCAATCCCACCGCATGCCCGTGTGATCCTTATCCTCCCACAATTCTCCCCAAGAAAAAGTAAAATCCTCTGCTGAGGAATGAAACCCCCCGTGAAAGGACAAGCAGGTCCTCAGGTGGAAGGAGCTGAAATGCTCATCCTTTGGGGTAGAGAAGGAGGATTCTTTGCGATTTTGGGTCGCTCGAGTAGAGGGGGGCAGTACTTACCGAGGCACCGATGTGGCCGGGTCCTCCCTGGGATCTTGCTGGTCGAAGGAGCATCCTCGGAGGGCGACGCAACCCAGCCCTGCCCACTGCCTGATGCAGAAGGAAAGAGCCATTTGGTCGTACAGGGTCAACTTGATATCCTGCAAGTCTACGCCGGTGAAATGACCCAATGCGCTTTGGGCAAAGCTTTTCTCGTTCATCTCGAACAAAAAATGGAAAGTGTCCAACTCGGTAACCTTCAGTGCTTGGCTGGGATGGGAGATGCCTCTGTGCCTCCCCTGAAGCCACCTCAGCATATCTTCCCTGGCTTGAGGTGAAATTCTGCACCCAATGGTTTTGTCTGCGTATTCTATGGATTTTTGGCTTACCAGACCAAACAGGAAGCGCACTGTTAAGTTCAAATCCTTCCTGGACTTGCTATAGCTTTCTAATAACATATTTACATCCTTCACAGGAGTCCCTGAGTCGCCGACCATTTCTTCATCATCCTCCAGAACGTAAAACATTGCTGCAAAAAACTCCTGGAGGTGCAGGTGGGTGAAGCTATAGACGTTCCCACGGTCTACACCTTGCTTTGAGATTTTCTCATTAAGGAAGAGAGGGAGAAGGTCTAGCTGGTCCAAGCCACGGTCCTTGATTTCCTTCTCCTCAAAGAGGACCTTGTGCTTCCAGATGCCGTCAGCAGCCAAGGAGCAAAGCTTGTGCAGGAACTGCTGAAGGTCCTGCGGGTTGTCCCTGTCTCTGCACTTCATTAACCAGGAGAGGTAAAACACGCTCATCCACGTGGTAGCTTTAGAGCACTCGACGAGGTTTTTCTTCTTGCAAAGCTCTTGTTCAAGGATGGTGCAGACAGTCCAGCTCATGACAGGGATGGCACACAAGCTGTAGAGGATCTTATTGCCTCTGGCAAACCTGAAGGCCATGTCGGCTTTATTGTCGTTCTCAAAATACCTGTGGAAATACTCCTCCCTCATGACTGCTGAAAATCCCAGTATTTCTGCATAATACTCCCCCTCCAGGCACCGTCCCAGGCTTTGAAGAGATGTTGGCCTCGTGGTAATGAGCAAGGAGGACTCAGGGAGAACAGTCTTCTTCAACAAGCTCATCAGGGTGGTTTCCAGTGGCTTCACTTCCCTGGGATCGGAGCTCAGCTCATCTTCAGGCTGAACCAAGGAAAATCCCAGGGCCTCGAAGCCATCAAAAATGAACAGGATCTTCTTCTGGTCATCCAGGATCTTCCCAGCTGGCATCTGCCTGTGAGGGCAGCACTTTGCAACCAGGTCTGCCACGCTCGCTTCCTTGGTATAGGCAATGTCTTTACAGTCTATGCAGAAGACATAGTCAAACTGTGCGTAGGGGGTCCCTTCCACCCACTCCACCATCACCTTCCTGACCGTCATCGTCTTCCCCATCCCTGGGGCCCCCACCAGCACCACGACCTGCGGCGTTTGCCCATCTTTGTCAGGTTTAAACAGCGTCTGCGTGGTGATTGTGGTCGTGGCTGGTCCGTTGCCAGCGTTGGCACATCCACAGCTGGCACCCACAGCTTCATGCTCACCTCCGCACTTGCTCCAAGGCCTCCTGGCGATGGTCAGGTCAGCGTAGCGGCTGCTGACGGACAGGTTCTCCCCAAGACAGGAGTTCGCTTCTTTGTACCGGAGGAACTCCTGGACCACGTGCTCTCTGTATTTCCGCTTGTACTCTACGCTGGTGAGAAGCAGAGTCAGTCCCAAGCACAGCCAGATTCCCGAGGAGCTCCTAACCAGCCCGACCGTGCTCCCAACACTCCAACGGGACACTTGTTTCAATGCTCAGGGCTTTCCTAAGTCTGGCAGAGGCAATAAAGACATTGTCTGTGAGAATTTAGGGCCTCTGGTCAGTTGAGGAGGTCCTTCTCTCCTGGGTCCCCCCCATCATCCTGATCCATCATCCCCTGTTTTAACCAGCCTGCAATCCTCATCCACCCTGGGCCACCTGCAGCCTCCGGCCCCCTCTGCTCACGCCCCTGGGGCCAGAGGCACCGTCCCCGGGCTCCTGGGGCTGCCTCCGGCTCCAAAGCGTTACCAAATGTGAGCTCTGCAGAGATGTTCCTAATCCCCATCCCAGGAGGAAAGGACCTGCCCCGCTGCCTGCCAGGCAGTGCTGAGAGCTGCAGACTCTTCTCCGGGGACAGAGGAGCCCGGCAGTAAGTGGGGACAGCAAGAGGAGAGGCCACTACAGCCCCCGCACTAACAGGATCACAGCGGGACATCTCAGTGTTTCCAGGCTCCCCGGAGAAGCCGAAACCCGCTCTTACCAACTTCTACCCGTCTCCAGGATCACCCAAGGGAAAAAGCGACAAAGAAAAGCAAAATGTACGTTGGCTCCCTACCGTTCACCTTCTCATCCAGGAGTTTCTCAGCAAGGTCTCTCTGGTTCATCTCTTTGAACAACCCGATCGCTATGTCCATCGCGGTGTCTTCGCTGTAGTTCTTGCCCATGCAGCTGGCAAGCGCGCAAGGGTGGGCGGCATTCGCCAGTGAATCCTTGGGGATGTTCCATCCTCCTTCCACGTGAACCTCCGATAACTTCACCTTAAACTCCTGAAAGTCTTTAGGTGCAAGACCCTGCAGCACGCCTAAGAGACCAGCTAACGCACGCTCTCCCCCTGCCATCGCAGATGTCACCTGAAAATACCAAAGGTTAGAAATCCCGGCTACGCCGTGGCAAGAGGTTTTAGAGCTGGGCACCGGGTTTGTCCCATACAGCCTGGTCCCAGTCACCCCAGCATGGCAAGGTCACAAGGGCTGTGGGCGCTGCAGGATCTGGCACCGTGGAGTCGTCCCCCCCTGGGATGGGGCACAGGAGAGAGGAAAAACACCCGAAAAAGCATCCTGGGAGCTTCCAACCAGACTGGGGGCTGCGGCCCCTCGGGGCAGAGTCCCCCCAGCCCCGGGGACAGCCCAGTGCCCAT